CTTAAGTTCCCTTGCCTTTTGGTGTTATCACTCATGAGATATGAAATCACTTGTAACTTCTTGCAAGCACAGGAAAGCAAAAAAGTCTTCTCAATTAAACCAGATTAACTGACATGAATACATAGATTTCTGAGAACCAGAAGGGATCATTTTGGTTATTTAGTCTAACCTCCTGCATAAACTGTCCTTGAACCTCTCAATTAATTCATGTTTTAAGACAAAAGCCTATTTGATCCAGAACATAAATATATTCTTTCTCTTTTTGTTTAAGAACCTGACCAGAACACTTAATAAATTACTTTGATATAGAAGAACCCTCATAGATTTTAAAAATGTATCATATTAGTAATACAGATATGTTTGATTCATTTTGACTGTGTAAATAAAAAGTTTTTATTCATTTGCTATTTTCATACGTTTTGGGGTACTACAACAAATCTCTCAAATCTGTGTTTGCCATGTAGGTGCATACAAGACTGGTTAAATAAATTCTTTTTGGTGCACTAAAGGATGAGCTCCTTTGTTAAAAACAAAAGTATTTTTTTGTTCCTTAACTGTAATAGAACTCCTGTGCCATCCTTTCTGAACAGCGGAAACAAGAATTGGATTTAGAACTAATATAACATCCCTAATCTCACTTACTATTCCTATTTCTGTCCCCAAAGATACCACATTAACATTTTTGGCTAGAACACTGCTCTTGATAATTCATAGTCTGCTGGCTATTCAGGACACCCACAATTATTTTACAGAACAGAATATTTTGTCTTCTAATATGCATGTAATACAATTTAGACTTGCAAATTTAAATTTGTCTGTATTTTATTATAGTATGTGTTTAAAAATTCATTCAATTGCCTGGCTTACTAGATGAGGTATTTTCTTAGAAAACTTTCTTAGTTCTTTTTGTTATTTAGTAGTTCTCCAGTTCTTGTAGCAGTGAAAGGTTCATCATTACCAGTAAGTCAGCTTCATGGGGGACCAACTTAAATGCCTCTACGCAAATGCACGTAGCACGGGGAATAAACAGGAGGAGGTAGAGACATGCACACGCCTGCAGGGCTATGATCTTATTAGCATCACAGAGTCTGGTGGGGTGGGTCCTGTGACTGGAGTGTTGGAATGGAAGGATACAAGCTGTTCAGGAAGGAGAGGCAGGGGAGATGAGAGGGTGTCACCCTCCATGTCAATGACCAGATGGAGCACATGGAGCTCTGCTTGGAGATGGATGAGGAGATGACTGAGATGTTATGGGTCAGGATTAAAAGGAGGGCAGGGACAGGTGATGATACACTGGGGAGCTGCTACAGGCCACCTGACCAGGAAAACCAAACAGATGATGCCCTCTGTAGACAGACAAGAGCAGCCTCACGTTTACAAGCCCTGGTCCTCATTGGTGACTTCAATCACCCCAATAGCTGTTGGAGAGACAACACAACAGGGTATATGCAATCCAGGAGGTTCCTGGAATGTATTAGTGATAAACTCCTTCTTCAAGGGATGGAGAAGCTGAGGAGAGGTGCTATTCTGGACCTTGATCTCACCAACAAGGAGGAGCTGGTGGGGACCATGAAGCTCAAGGGCAGTCACCATGAGATGATGAAGTTCAAGATCCTTAGGACAGCAAGGAAAGCAAACAGCAAACTCACTAATTTGGACTTCAGGAAAGAAGACTTTGGCCTCTTCAGGGATCTGTTTGGCAGACTACCATAAGACAAAGCCTTGGAGGGAAGAGGGGCTCAAGAAAACTGGCTAATATTCAAGAATCATTTCTGAGCAGCCTCACGTTTACAAGCCCTGGTCCTCATTGGTGACTTCAATCACCCCAATAGCTGTTGGAGAGACAACACAACAGGGTATATGCAATCCAGGAGGTTCCTGGAATGTATTAGTGATAAACTCCTTCTTCAAGGGATGGAGAAGCTGAGGAGAGGTGCTATTCTGGACCTTGATCTCACCAACAAGGAGGAGCTGGTGGGGACCATGAAGCTCAAGGGCAGTCACCATGAGATGATGAAGTTCAAGATCCTTAGGACAGCAAGGAAAGCAAACAGCAAACTCACTAATTTGGACTTCAGGAAAGAAGACTTTGGCCTCTTCAGGGATCTGTTTGGCAGACTACCATAAGACAAAGCCTTGGAGGGAAGAGGGGCTCAAGAAAACTGGCTAATATTCAAGAATCATTTCTTCCAAGCTCAGGAGTGATGCATCCCAACAAAGAGGAAGACAGGCAAAAATGCCAGGAGGCCTGCATGGATAAATAAGGAGCTCCTGGACAAACTCAAACAGAAAAACAAGCCAGGGCAGCCAGCCTGGGACGAATACAGAGAGACTGTGAGCAACAAGGGATCAAGTTAGGAAGCTTAAAGCCCAGATAGAATTACATCTGGCCAGGGATGTCAAGGGCAAGAAGAAAAGTATGTATAGGTATGTCAGTGATAAAAGAGAGACTAAGGAAAATGTGGGCCCTCACCAGAAGGAAACAGGAGATGGACAAGGTTGATGTACTCAATGACATTTTTGCCTCAGTCTTCCAAAAAATCTTTTTGGACACTTAAAAGAAAATGAGATTATTTTAGCCTATGATAGAAAGCAAAGAACATTTATTGTACTAGTTTTTTTGGACATAAAGTATACAGCTAGTAATTCCCGTTATTCAGATGGAAGACCCAGTAAGTGTATATTAAAAAATCACAGATTCACAGATTCAACAGAGTTGGAAGGGACCTCTAGAGATCATCTAGTCCAACTCCCCTGCTAAGCAGGATTGTCTAGAGGACATTACTCAGGACTGCATCAAGGTGGGTCTTGAAAATCTTCAGAGAAGGGGACTCCACAACCTCCCTGGGCAGCCTGTTCCAGTGCTCTGTCACCCTCACCTTAAAGAAGTTCTTCTTTTTTTTTGATTGGAACTTCCTATGTTCCAGCTTATGCCTGTTGCCCCTCGTCCTATCGCTGGAAACCACTGAAAAGAGTCTGGCTCCATCATCCTTCAACCCACCCTTTAGGAACTTGTAAACATAGATGAGGTCTCCCCTCAGCCTTCTCTTCTCGAGGCTAAAGAGCCCCAGCTCTTTGAGCCTTTCGTCATAAGGGAGGTGCTCCAATCCCTTAATCATCTTGGTTGCCCTACATTGGACTCTCTCCAGTAGTTCCCTCTCTCTCTTGAACTGGGGAGCCCAGAACTGGATGCAGTATTCCAGTTCTGGCCTCACCAGTGCAGAGTAGAGGGGGAAAATGACCTCCCTCGACCTGCTGGCCACACTTCTCCTTATGCAGCCCAGGATCCCATGGGCCCTCTTGGCGACAAGGGCACATTGCTGGCTCATGGAGAGCCTGCCATCCACCAGGACTCCCAGATCCTTTTCCTCTGTGGTACTTCCCAGAAGATCCACCCCTAACCTATAATGGTGCCTGGGGTTCTTCCTCCCCAGGTGCAGGACCTTACATTTGCCCTTGTTGAACCTCATTAGATTGTTCTCTGCCCAGCTCTCCAGCCTGTCCAGGTCACGCTGGATGGTGGCACAGCCCTCTGGAGTGTCGGCCAGCCCTCCCAGTTTGGTATCATCAGCAGACTTGCCGAGGATACACTCTGTCCCCTCGTCCAGGTCATTGATGAATTACGTTGAACAGGATAGCGCTGAGTATTGACCTCTGGGGGACACCACTGGTTACAGGCCTCCAATTTGACCCTGCTCCATTATTGACAACCCTCTGAGTTCTGTCAGTTATAACAGTTATAACAGTCTCCAGTTATAACCTGGGTTTCTTTTCCTCTTAAATAATAACTTTATAAAAATCACAGCCCAGTAGACTAATAATTTTAAATGCCCTTTATCTTTATTTATAATGTGTATCAAGCTAACTTTGAAGAAGTACACGCATTGTATAAATTTAATAAAGAATTTATATTAGATCTAGCCATGCTTAGTAGAGAACCAGCATTGAGATTTATGAACTTATATGGAGACAATATTTTCTTTTGTACAATAAAGGAAAATGGAGAATAACAAAACCCAAATTGCAACCAAGCTTGTTCATGCCTTATTCTCTACTCTTTCAAGTGCAGTGAAAAGTTTGGGAAAAGTTGAAGAACAATTTTTCAATGTTGAACGTACATTTAAAGAAACTTAGTGGGATTGTGTGGGTTTTCAGATCTCTATTCATAAGTCAATAATGTTCGATAAGTAGAAAGTCGGGGGGGAGGAGGAAAGAGAACATAACTACTTTGGGCTGAAGTTTAGAGAAGCAGCAAAATATAAAGACCTTATTAAGCAAATACATTTTTAAGACTGAGACAAAGATACAGAATGTACAGGTGGATGCGTGTTCTCATGTTGAAAAAATGCATATATAAAAATATATATTATACTATGGAAACATTGACAGCAACCCCTGTTTGAAAAACTGTCTTGCTGGAGGTTCATTCCCACATTTATGCCACAGAGTTCAGGGACAAAGAGTACCCTGTCATACAGCTGGCTTCATGAGCTGTGTCATGATTTGAACTGGGCCAAAAAAAATAAGGAAATTGTCCTGTTGAACTGCATGTAGTTTATTAAACTGGCTGTGTTTTATTTTCCTAAATGCTACGTTGGCAGAAGCGTCTCATGGATTACACAATGAGCAGGGAGCAGGGCAGCTATATAAAAGAAACTTTTTTTTTCTCTTAGCTATGTAGTTTATTTTTCAGGTAGCATATTACTGTCTAATAGAACTTTTGAATCAAAAGTGCAGCATAAATTAGTTCTTCTGATTGAGTGGTGAATGGCATTCCCTGTTCTTATATGGTGTTTGTTGCAAACGGCTTTTACCAAGCTACTGAGATTTATCTCAGCAACATCTTTGTGTAATGCTTAACATTAGTTGCTACCATTTTGTTTATCCTGGAGTTTTCTTTTAAAATCAGATAATTACTAGAAAGACATATATGAAATCTTAGGTACCCACTGAAGTTCTCCATCTGTACTATTAACTTGCATACCCTGTCTTGTCTTCAGCTGTTACAGGGCAAATCATTTCCTAAATATCATAAATGGGATCTCCAACAAACAGGCAGTGGTGGAGGTGTGGATGAACAAATCAGTGGAGACTGTGATGATGAAGATGGTTGTGGAGGATCAGGAAGTGGTGAAGTCAAAAGAGTCCTGAAAATTACAGACTGTAAGTCCATTATTCTGTTTCCTTCATACATATAAAGAGTGAATTGGCATACTTTCCACTAAGAAATACCACTGAATTATCTTGGAAAAGGTGTGGAAAAGTTGTCTGTATAATGCTTCCAAGACATACAGGAATGGGACTGCAATTACAGAGTTTTTATGAACATGGTATCAAGATATATGAGTATCAGTTTCATCGTAACATATGTTAATACATATTTGGCATAATGTAGTCAGACCTCAACACAGTATTTTAATCAAATAAAATGTGTTACAATGGCTTGTTCCTGCGAGTTACATAAAAGATTTGGCAGTTAAGCAGAGAAATTGTTTTAGCTTTTCATGGAACTATGGGAAAATGTAAGGTTTAGTTGTAGCTCAATTTCATAGAGCAGTGTTGGAACCAATGTACTGTACCTGACTCGGCATCAATGCTTCTTACACTTCTTTCTGCTTTTCTTACTTTGTGTGTGTGTGTGGTGTTTGTTTTTTCTTTTCTGAAACTCATTTTTCTTTGAAAAATCATTTGTTTGTAAACATCGGTGGCATGGACGTGTGAGCATGAGCAATTGGATTGAACCACAAGTTAAGTTAACTGCTTCTCTGCATCAGGACATTATTCTGCACGTCTTACTTCTCTTCCCAGTGTAAAAATATAGACAGAGGTGATGGTAATAGATGTCTGGTATCATCAAAATTGCACTTCTGCATGTTGCATGGTGGTTTGGTTTTTGTTTTGTTTTGGTTTTTTTTATCATTTTTCTGCATTTTGCTTGCATAATTCAACACTAATGGATAAGAAGTCAAGGTTGGTGTCAATCCCCGAATTTACCTGTATTTACTGAATTGGAGTGCACTCCCTGTTTCCAAGCTCAGATGAGAACCCCGGGTCCTTTTTGACTTGACAGTGAAAAGATAATTTAGAAATGTGGCCACAGAGAAGCTATAGCCTATGCTTGCCCAATTCTGGTCTAAACAACTGGCGAAATGAGACTGAGTACCCTGGAGCGTGCCTCAGCAGGTCAGCTTAGATTCAGTCTGAAATGGTCTTGAGCTGATACCTACTCTGCATTTTCAGGTCCTGCTGTAATTCTCTAGATGGTATTGTAAGGTTTGCAAAATATTTGGGCACTTACTTCCTGAGAATGCATTTGAAGATTTAACTTTGGAAAATGAAGTTAGAGATCAAATATTTAAAACCAGATGTACTTTGGAATAGTGGATATGTTATATCTATTTGATAATGACACTCTATAGTATGGAAAGACTGTTAAATAGTCTTAGAATATGACTAGGGCTATTAAGCAAGTATTAAATGACAAAAGAATTGCAAGAATAGTACATTTTCTTTCACCCTCTTCTACTGCATTAGAATTTTCTTCATATTGATACATTTAGTGTAATCTTTTCAAAATGTCAAAAATATAATTACCCTTCATATTCTCTTTATACTGCATGCATTATAAATCTCTAGAATTATAAAATATGTGTTGCACACTGAAGTTTGCATGTAATGTTGTTTCATTTGAACCTTTTCTAAGATAATACTTAACAAAACTATGAGTCCATACTGTTCCAGTGTAATGACTTGTGCATATATATTAAGTTACTAGTTCCTTCAATGAGCTGTTGTGATTTTATGGATTTATGCTGACATGCATTTAATGTTTGGAATGTGCCTTAAAGGTGTCTTGAATGTATACCAGAAAGAGTCCTAGACAACATTACTTTGTTCTGGGGTAACACACATGCTTACTGACAATATATGTCAGGAAAATCTTTGTTGTCAGAAATTACTTAAGTGTATATTTAAGATAAACAGGACCTTGAACAATTCTTCTTTTGAAACATTGTGATATACAAGTAAGACTTTGGGAATTAAAAGTTAAATTGAAAGTGGAAAAAAGTTAAATAAGTATATTTTAGTAAACAAACAAAATTATCATCTCAAGATTTATGATTTTAGGTGAGAAACTAGAATTAAAAAATTAAAAGGCAAACATCATCATGATTTAAGCTAGTGAAATTTTCTTAGCTCCAGGTGACTGAAGTATTAATCTGAAGCTGAACTTAATGTTTTTAAATCGAGAAACTAGATATACTCTGCTGATATTGCTTATTGATCTTTGAAAAGCATGACTGAACTTTGGCTAAACCTAGATATTGACTACAGTACGTTTGATCTTCAATGTTAGCTTGTTAGTTCTAGTGCTTTTTTGTGCATCTCAATTTCAGCTAAAAGCTGCATGCAAATAGCCAGAAATGTCTGAGTATTCTTCTGTATTTATATATGTCATATATATATGTACTTATGTGTCATGGAAGACAAACAAAACTTATTTGTTATATAGAAACTTATATTTGTAGTCCTAAATAAATTTATATAAAAAAGAAAAAAACCCACACTTGCAGTGAGAACAAGATCGAAAAGTTATATTTGTTCAAATCCAACCCTTCATAAGCTTCTGATCTGCAAACATTTGTAATCTTTTAATACATGGAGACATACAGATATTATGTTTTTTTTCCCTCACCAAAGAAACTTTTAATAGTCATCTTCCTCTGGGCAACTCATAGTCAACAAGAAAAGAAAGGGGAATTGCTACCTATTCTGTACTATAATAGAGTCAAGGTCGTAGCCAAAACCCAGGTTCCTTTTTGTTAGCTGTTCCAAGGAAATGATCTTGCCTGCTACAAATTCATACTCTTAATAAACTTATAAACTATGATACAGAAATAGCCCTTTTAAACACATTGCTTTGTATAAAATGTAAAGACACATCTGCCTTTCATCTGCCTTTTGTTTAACACCATGTCATTGCCTTCTGAACATGAGTACGATCCTCACACCTCACACAGGAACAGAGAGGAAGGGAGGAGATACATTTCTACCAAGACAGACCTCTAGGAATGTTATACGAACACATAGCCTCTGAAGTTGAATACGAATTATTTCTACACTCAGTGTTACAGATGTAAGAATTGTTTTCACTTAGTGCTGGAGACTGACAAATATGTGATGGCAGGCTTTAGGCTTTGGAAAGCCAATGAAAAGATTTGGTATTTATGACTTAGAGTGATAGCTATGGCATTACACTAGTGCTAAAAATATGTTGTATTTTGAAAAATTCTGGTTTTCATATCAGTCAATCCTTACATTACATTCAATATTTCAAAGCCCTACAATTGTTCTGAATGCTTCACTCTTCCTAAGTGCCTTTAAAATACAACAAAATGGTGCTGTTATTTGAAGGAATGGTACTAGAAAGGATTGTGCACTTTAAATTTATAAAATAAACAGTGGTATAAAGTCCTGACACTTCATTTGCTAGTTTTATTCTGCTCTAACCCAGGAGCTCCCACAGGACTATTTCATGCGTCACAATGAATTACCTCCTCAAAACCCCTTGCAGAATGCAAGAGGTAATAACAACAAATACTTATCACCTATATATTGATTTGAATCTTTTCAAACAGCTCTGTGAGGAAGGGTTTATCCTGATATCACTCCTCTGAGGTACTCACTACCATCTATCACAATTCTCATAAGACTTTTAGCAAGACCACTAATTTTCTGAAAAGTGCTGCTTTGACTTTCTTCACTCATTTTAACATGCAACACGGGTGTTTCTACAGCCAGAGATCACCTAGTTCAGGGCTCATATATGTAGAAATATCAAGAGTGTCTTTAAGCTTAAGGTATATACAGGCAAACCTTGTGTCTCATTTGTTTGATTTTTATCTCACCTGGTACTCATCCCGACTGAAGGAAAAAGCCTCCAAAACATTTTTTTTCTAGGACTACCTAATCTGCAGGATATTCTTTTCTTGTTCAGACTATGCGATAGAGGGAAAGTAGCTTTGAAAGGCTTTATGTTGTGATCTACTATTGTAATCTACTATTAACCTGGCAGGCAGCTAAACACCATATAGCTGTTTGCTCATTCCCCTCAAGTAGGGTGGAGGAGAGAATTGAAAAGCAGATAAAATTTGTGTATTGAGATACAGACAGTTTGTAAGGACAGAGAAGGAAGGGAAAATAATAATAATAATGGTAAAAAAATATACAAAAGAAGTGATGCACAATGCAATTGCTCACTACCCACAGAGCAATGCCCAGCCAGTCCCCAAGCAGTGGCTGCCATCCCCCAGCCAACTCCCCCCAGTTTTACTGTTCAGCATGACATCATATGGTATGGAACAACCCTTTGGCCAGTCTGGGTCAGCTGTCCTGGCTGAGTCCCCTCCCAGCTTCTTGGTGTACCCTCAGCCTCTTCAGCCAACTCCCCCCAGTTTTACTGTTCAGCATGACATCATATGGTATGGAACAACCCTTTGGCCAGTCTGGGTCAGCTGTCCTGGCTGAGTCCCCTCCCAGCTTCTTGGTGTACCCTCAGCCTCTTCGCTGGCAGGGCAGTATGAGAAGCTGAAAAGTCCTTGATTTAGTGTAAGCACTGCTCAGCCACAACGAAAACATCAGTGTGTTATCAACATTATCCTCATCCTAAATCCAGAAACACAGCACTATACCTGCTACTAGGAAGAAAATTAACACTATCCCAGCTGAAATTATGACATCTCCATACAAAAAGAGGGTACTATGGTTGAAATAAACCAGTCCATATCACTCATCTAATGTTATATTGCATTCTCAAGTCTCAAACATCCTTTCTCCTCTTGCTGCTCCTTCACCCACTTCAGTACAGTTCCATAGTTCCTTTATTCTTTGTTTTGTCTTTTTTTTTTTTTTTTTTTAATCTGATTCAGATGGTTTCTTCTGTGACTAAAGCTGGCACGTGTGAAACTTCATTAGGCTCCCTAATTCAAGGAGAGCAGATGTCACTAACTGCTATACCTGGAAATGTGCAAATTTTGTAGTGGCTTTTCCATCTTGCTTCTCACCACTGGCAGGCCTACCCAGGGCAGGGCACAGCACAATGTTTTCCTAAAGTAGAATAGAGTAATATTAATTCAGTAATACCAAGACATGTGAACAGGTGG